GAGGTAAACGCGAAAGTAAACGCCCGTTTACTTTTTATGTCTACTGAAATTTCGGATTCAACGCACAGTTAACGCAGCATTTACTTGAAGTGCACGCGAGTAAACGCCGCGTTAACTTTTTCCGCGCGTCTACATGTAATGCTTGGTCTGCACCCAACTGTATAAATAAGAGGTGAAATAAATATGTAATTTAAAGATGATTCATCTCCTAATAGAGATTTCCAATAAAAGACATACGTACGCAACTCGACGTACGGACCTAATGGGACTGGTTATTACCAACCATTGAGTTTGATTAAATACGTCGCTCAAGTTTAAACAAAGTATTCCAAGACTTTAAAAATCACACATTGGAATTTTCGTCCATACAAAATAATTTTATCATGACGAAAAATGATAAAAATCTTGCAATTTTATTGATCACGTGGTTTTCCAGATTCCCGCCTTTATTTTTACTGACATAAGATCACGTATAAACACACGTGTCCCATACCTATCATAAGTACGATTTGAATTATCTTTCATGGTTTTGATTATGACAACTATTTTTCAATATACTTTGGAGATGAAGGCCCAATTATACTTTTATTTCTGTCTTTTTTTATAGTTTATCTTGTTATTATATTTGTTGCGGGGAAACATTCAGAAGGATATTTTTCTATCTATTTCAGAAATATCGAAACCAAAGTTTGTCAGAATCTGTCTCTTTATAAAAGTTGAAAATTAAGATAAAACTATCGCTTCCATTTAATTTCTAAACAAAAGTTTTTTTCATTTATTATAAAATGTATTGATAAAAAAATCCCTATATATGTTGTTTTTTAGAATTAAGGTGTGTTTGAATAGTGATTGTTTTGTATTAATTTGTGTAACGGGAATGCTATCGGAGTTCAAATACAACAGACATTTCCAGGGAGTTTTTTATATCCCTTGAAGTAAATTAACTACAAGTATTTTATCGATTTTATTGATAAACAATTAAAAGGGTGTCACCGAATTCATTTTACTGAATAAATAATTAACGGAAATGTGTATGGTACGTAACATTGACCAATATAATATAATAAGATTTCGTTGCCAGATGCGGATCCTGGCAGAGAGGCAGCCAATCTTCGATTTGAAACGGGCGAGGATCGTGTCGAAAACTTTCTGCACTCAAACAGTGCATGGTGTAGCTTTCATTGACGCAATGAGGCAACCATCTCACCAAATTTTTGACAATTAAAAAAGAGAGATAAAGAGAATTATATACCATGTACGTATAAAGTATACTGAGTGACGACTGTTAAAAACGTTGACTGTTTTACTCTTTACTCACTCATTCCTCCTTATTAACGTCTTGAAAACTTTTTTCATAAAATGAACAAGGTAGATTCAAATATCTTTTTTAAGTAACAGACAAAGTATACCTCGCAAAAAACTGATTCAAACAAGAGGTCATAACTGTGAAACTGATATGATGCTTGATTGTTTTTTGACAACGAACTTGTTACTTTTGGTGGACAAAGTTTTCAACAGGTACTTGGCATTCCTACATTTTATGTAGTACTCTTCTATCTTGGTTAATATAAGCACGACGTCATTGTTCACCCATAGCCAGTTATTATCATCCATATATTTTGACAAAAGCTAAACGTATAAAGTTAAAAACACCATAATGGATCTTAAACCTAATATCTCCAGATCTGTACAAAAGCATATTAGAGGAGGTCATACATATAATTCTGTCAATTATTTTTGTTTTGTTTAGGACCTGTCTGTAACTGAATACTGTGAATTTAACCTTAAATAAAATTGATTGATAGTTGGTTGTATAACGTTCAGCGGCAAATGTTTCATGCATAATTAACATGTAGAGAGCTTGGCATTCTCTCTACTGCTGTACTAGAGGCATCGGATTTAACGTCCCCACTCTGACCGGGACTGCGTACTTGTACGTACATCTCGCACAACCAAACGGAATCCCCACTTTGACAATGGTTTAACTGTCGATGGGAACAAGACTAAGAGTGACCATATTTCTATTCTCCCGATCACCTTTGATGGGTAACTGTCGAGGCGAGCACGCGACCAAAGAGACAGTTATGAATATGGAAGATACATATACATGTATGTGTGTTAATCAAAACATTTGCAACAAGAATGTGTGGCCTTAAGACACCGTGCCCCTTTATTTTTCATATTTCCATGTTCAATGCACCACTTTATCCGGGTCAAGCTCTAATTTGGTATTCAACTTTAAAACTTTAATATTGTGAACAGAACAGAAGAACGGACGGATGCACAGACCAGTGAATATATTATCCCTTATTATCATAAGTTGGTCATAAAACTAAAATGATCATTCTACTTAACAAATCTTCAATCAAATATTCCGTATATGTCCGTTTTTCATACGTATTTCTATAAGTTAAATACTAAACATTTTAGAAAAAGAATTTAAGAGCAATGACGTTAAACTACGCATACGTTTGTACTGGCTCTTCCTAGAATCCAAGCATCATTATAAGACAAGATATAAAAAAATAAACTAATTCAGTAAAGTGTAATCATATTTGTCTTAAAGATGCTTTCTCATAAATTCCATTTGATAAAATTCTACGGAAAGGTGACAAAGTACTATCAGAAATATGTATCAGTGATCTGAATTTTTACTTTTGACAAAAGTATCTTGAAATGAATTATAGAAATATGCTTAAAAAAAAGAAGAAGCAGCAAATCGTGTACACCTTTAACATTTAACATGCTGGAAACTCTTGTTTTAATCTTATAACTTTAAAATAAACAAGAGTCTCGCAAGAGCCTGAATCGCTCACCTGTTATTTTTTTTGCTTAAATCTTTCATCAATGATTATTTTTGCTTTTTACACATACAAATGTATGTTCCATTTCAGCCATATTGTCTGTGTTTCTTGACGTACAAGGAAATGAAATACAAAATTTATACTAGATTCATTTGAGAAGATTTTTAAAGTTAAAAAACATAAAACAACTTGTGTAAAATTGTCCTCAAAGGGCAATAACTCCTTAAGGGGTCAATTGACAATTTTGGTCATATAAAACTTTTTTGTAGATCTTACTTTGCTGAACATTTTTGCTGTTTACAGTTTATTTTTATCTTCAATAATATTCAAGATAATAACCAAAAACAGAAATTTCCTTAAAACAACCAATTTAGTGGCAGCAACCCAACAATGGGTTGTTCGGTGTGTCTGAAAATTTCAGGGCTGATAGATCTTGACCTTTTGAACAATTTTACCCCATGTCAGATTTGCTCTAAATCCTATAGTTTCTGAGATATAAGCCAAAAACTGCATTGCATCCCTATGTTCTATTTTTAGCCATGGCGGCCATGTTTGTTGATGGATCAAAATTTCAGATACAATTCATAAACTAGATTCCTAAAGGAACATTCATTCAAAGTTGAGAAGTATTAGGCACAACAGTTTCAGAAGAGAAGATTTTTAAATGTTAACAAACTTGATGAACACATATCGTAAAATTGTCTTTAAAGGGCTATAACTCCTTAAGGGGTCAATTGACAAATTTGGTCGTTTAATTTGTCTGTAGATCTTACTTTGCTAAACATTATTGCTGTTTACAGTTTATATCTATCTATAATAATATTCAAGATAATAACAAAAAACTGCAAAATTTCCTCAAAACTACCAATTTAGTGGCAGCAACCCAACACTGGGTTGTTCGATTTGTCTGAAAATTTCAGGGCTGATAGATGTTGACCAATTGAACAAATTTTTTCCCATGTCAGATTTGCTCTAAAAGCTTTAGTTTTTGAGATATAAGCCAAAAACTGCATTTGACCCCTATGTTCTATTTTTAGCCATGGCGGCCATGTTTATCGATGGATTAAAACTTCGGATACAATTCATAAACAAGATATCCTAAGGAACATTTAGATGAAGTTTGAAGGTATTTGGCCCAGTAGTTTCAGAGGAGAAGATTTTTAAATGTTAGCAAACTTGATGAACAAATTGTGTAAAATTGTCTTTAAGGAGCAATAACTCCTTAAGGGGTCAATTGACAATTTTAGTCATATAAAACTTTTTTGTAGATTCTACTTTGCTGAACATTATTGCTGTTTACAGTTTATATCTATCTATAATAATATTCAAGATAATAACAAAAAACTGCAAAATTTCCTTAAAACTACCAATTTAGTGGCAGCAACCCAACAATGAGTTGTTCGATTCGTCTGAAAATTTCAGGGCTGATAGATCTTGACCAATTGAACAATTTTACCCCATGTCAGATTTGCTCTCAAAGCTTTAGTTTTTGAGATATAAGCAAAAAACTGCATTTGACCCCTATGTTCTATTTTTAGCCATGGCGGCCATGTTTATCGATGGATCAAAACTTTGGATACAATTCATAAACTAGATACCCTAAGGAACATTTAGTTAAAGTTTGAAGGTATTTGGCTTAGTAGTTTCAGAGGAGAAGATTTTTGAAATAGTTTACGACGACAGACGACGACGACAGACGACGGACGACGACGGTCGCCAAGTGATGGCATAAGCTCACATGGGGCCCTTCGGGCCCCGGTGAGCTAAAAATGAGAATATGATCTCGCTTCAGATTCCATTATTTTCTATTTTTCAATCTTAAGTTTGATTTAGTAGCTTTAAGAATTCATCGTTTGAGAGATAAATATATGGGTCAAGTGAAATGACGAAGGAGTTATCGGTGCGTTTGATAACGGGTAACTGAATTAATTATTCCCTTTATTGCCTTTAAAGATTGTTGTAAATGAAATCATCCTAAATTTAATAACAAAAAATATGTAAAGAATTAAAATAGTAGTTTGTGCTAATTTTTAAATAGCATCTATTCCAACAAATTATGTGTATTCAACGTGCCAAAAATTCATGCAGTATATGCTCCCCTCCGTCATCCTCTAATGCAATAGGACGAGATACGGTCAGATAGTTTGGTTATGTCGAGTAATGTCATTTTATTGGAAATCTCTTATAACATCTTACCTAGGATTCTAGTAATCCATGCCTTATTTTCCTCTGATTTATTTTTAAAGTATGGTTTCATAACATCTTCCCAGGTAACAGCTACCATGGAACTGAGATTAGATGATAGTGAGCTGAATTGGAATGCAGATTAGAATTTTCCCAATTAAAAGAGTATCAAAACACAAAACAAAAACATGTATGACCGTAGGTCAAGTATAATTGTCATTCTTTGCGATATATTGAAATTAAGAGAAATATGCATAAGCCATATCAATATACATTATATTATATGTTACAACACTAATTAACGCCTCTGCGGAAAGGCATCACCCGACTAACGAAAATGTATGTTCTCATATAACTTAGTTGGCCGTGTTGTGTAAGGAGCTTGACACAGTGCTTGGTATGTTGTCGCTGATTTTTCAACAGCTCTTGTTAATTGCAAAGTACCGAAAGTCCTGAAATTTTCCACACAAACGGGAATTTTTCCTTTTTTCTTTTTTTTTCCTTCCTTATATATTATTATAATTAGTATAATTATTGTTGTGAATTATCAGAATTTAACGTGTCCACGCAATTCAATTGTATGTTAGAAAAAAGACTGAAAAAGGAGATGTGACAAGAATACCAATTATGCAACAACCCAGCAACATAAACGTCTAAATGTACTGTCCATGCAAGATACCAAATGTCGCGATATAATCAACTTTGGTCAACATAACTATTTTTCATTTTAACTTTTTTACCTCTTTAAAAGATTTTTCTTGTGATGATTTTAATTGTACGTTTTTTACGTAACGTGTCTTTCCACTCATCGAAATTAAAAAGGGAGAGTTGAGATCTGAAATAACTACTAGTAGTTTCACCAACTCTAAGTTTATGAACCTGTCCCAAGTGAGGAACCGCGTAATAGGTAAGGTTTGTTCGTTTTTTGGTTGTTTTTTTTTTTTTTAATTCAGAAGGTCCAATAATAGGCTTATTTGGCTCTATAAATTCACCGATAACTAAACAAAAAGTAAAATCACAAAAATACTGAACTCTGAGGAAAATTCTAAAAGGAAAGTCCCTAATCAAATGGCAAAATCAAAATCTCAAAAACTTCAAACCAATGGATAACAACTGTCATATTCCTGACTTGGTACAGGCATTTTCTTATGTAGAAAATGGTGGATTAAACCTGGTTTTAAAGCTAGCTAAACCTCTCACTTGTATGACAGTCGCATCAAATTCCATTATATTGACAACGATGTGTGAACAAAACACACAGATACAATAGGTAAAACTTCACAAATAGGGGTACAACAGCAACACGAATGTATGATAGTCATTATTGTTCAAATTCTTCCAGTTTCAAAAGGAATGCTGTTAGAATATGATATCTGCCAAGTCTTAATGACACGATTTGTTAGTGGTGCAGTAAAAGTGATGTCTCATAAGGGAGATTTTTCAGATTTTTCTCCAAAAATAGGTTAATTTCAGAAAAACATTAGCTAAATTATCAAAGAGTTCGAGCACCACTAAGAATTATTTTTGCCAGTGAAAAGATAAACACACTATTAACTTAATGTGTAAATATCTTTTTAGGCGACGGCTGTACTCTTTGATAATACTAGGCATGTGTTAGAAATAAGTCTCGAGTTTGCAGATTTTCGCCTTTTTGCTGAATGCTGAATTTTCTATCATTCAAAGGCTTATAACGAATAAAAAGGGTATTTGTTTAACTAAATTTGAAACTGGAATGTTTAATGAAAGTAAACACAGTCAACATTTGATTCTTCAATTGAGAAATAGATTGAAATACATTTGATATTAGGGTTTATTTGACCGAAAACTTACCTTCTCCTTTATGTATAACATTTCTACACACAGGTGGTTAAAAGGTTCAACATCGTAGAAACACGTGTATATTGTTGAACACCGTATAGCTTGACCTATATATATATATCTTCCGGTTTTTGACGCCGAGCAATTTCTACGTCATAGATGTATATCTAACGCATAGTTTATTAATACATATTTATGTACATTTTTAAAATGTTTTTATAAACCGTAAACACAAAGAAAGCTAAAGCTAACCATTAGTCGAAGAAAGACTGACATCACCGAAGACAAAAAAAAAAGCTAAGACAAAGACAAACCAACAACCAACACAACATGTCTTAAAAGTGTTAGATACTGCACAAAACACCTGTCGCATAAGCTAGTTATGCCCCCACGACGGAAATCGTCTTAATGCTCATTGCAAACAACATTCCGGTTATGATTCTCATTCGAATATGATTTGCATTTAGTAATAAATCAGTAACGAAAATATGTTCTAATTTTTTGGGATAAAAATAAAAAGCTCTTGATGGAAAAATTTACCTCATATTTGTATCGTTCAGTTTTAAACCAACTCTCACTGTTCATACCGACATGAAATTCAACAAAGATTTTGATCAGGTATTAATATCAATTGGCATTTGTTTTATTATGTTGTTATATTATAGATGCTTTGATTTTGTATTTAGTGGTACTAGATTCTGATTGTACATATTGCACACTGTTATCAAAAAATTATACCTTTAACGAAGGATATTAATGTTGTGGTCAGATTTCAGCATTTCAATAAAAATAAATAGTAGATTACAATGAAATCATTACACTGACTTATTTTGATATTTAAAACAAAAAGGTATAATCGGATGATTTACAAATAAAAAAAAACAATCTCGTTTGTTTACCTCAATGCTCCGCAAAACAGGCATGCAATAAATAATCCAGGTACCCCGGGATATCCCAACATGTCAGATACAAAGTATGGAATTATCTGAAATATAGCCATGATTCAATGTACAATAAAAAACGATACCAATATGTAACCCATCACGTAAAGTTCCAACATAAACGGTGATTTATTTTTTTATTTATCATCTATATTTATCGATTCCTTTTTTATGATATGAAAACTTTATCTGATTACCTCCTATACATTTCTATGAATATGATTGGCTAAAAGCAACCGCGTAGAGCCCCTTTATATTTCATATGGGGTTAGCAGGCGTGGTTTAATCTTATACACGGTTAGCAGAGGTATTCAGTCCCTTTATAAAAACAACACGGCGTTAAGGATAAATCTGAAACGTTTCCCGGACATCAGATGAACAAATTGATGATGAACGATTGAAATAAATGCAGAAAACACATTAAAAGCTAACAAGTTGCTATTGTTGGCATTTGTTTTTGTATAGACCAATGGAAGGAGGTTCTTTACATTGAAGACTTGATAACTTTGATCGGCCACTAGTCTAAATGTCACATGTTAAGATAGTCGGTAAGATAAATTCGTTACACAGTTTGTTCGCTCTCACCCCATATGGAATTTACTGACCCCAAATACATCGTATTTGGTCACTAGCATACTGTGTAACTAATAATATGTAGTTACCGTGTTCATTTGTTCAATAGAAATAAACTGTCCCAATTTGTAGAGTAAAAAAACGTTAAACAGAAAAAAAAAAGATATTAAGATATAGATGTTATAGAAGGTTACAATTTAGCACCCGTTGTCCTATTGGACATAACAATTCTTTTAGAATCAACCATCTCGTAAAAAGTTATAAAAAAAGAGGAGTTAAACCATTTCCTCTTTTTTAATTTCTGTCTTCAATTATATTAAAATGAATCAATAGATTTCAAAAGTCACTTTCAAATTCACGCTTTTTTGCCAAATGCTTCATTTTATAATTGTATAGTTTTGTAAAAGCGTTTAAAATGAAGCACTTCATACAAAATGTGTTTCGGTCAACTCTTCTTCCCCCCAATGAAATAAATAAAACACTAAAGATTGAGCAGCATGAACCAATCCAAACTGGCTGTTAAAAACCATAAGTTGAAAAAAAACAGACAACACCATGGCCAAAAAGAAGGACGATGAAAACACAAACAAGCACAAACCAAACCTCGACCTATTGGTTATGCGGTACATACCAATATAAGGTTTTTATGACATGCTCAGAAAAACAACTTAGACAGATTTTCGTGTGTTTTTTCTATGAGCAATATATGTTATAGTACATATGCCATCTAATGGAAGTCACTGTTACAGTGGCGTATACAAGTTCTGGAGAATCGAGCAATCTGTAATAATATACATCCACACTAAGGTGAAACATATCTTTATTTCTACTCAGAAAATTAAAATTTGATATTCTGAAAGGCACATTGTCTTGTGTTTCAAACTAATTAGTGATTTTGCGTGCTCTGTTTTAGGATAAGTGTTAATTAATTTAAATGATATATTTGACGATTGGAATGGTTTAAACCTCATTAAATGTTAGAAATTATAAGTTCTACGAAATATGGTTATAGCTGATATAAAGAAAGATATCTAATGAGAAAAGAAACTAAATATTTAGAGATTGTACCAACAAATGGGGTTTTTGCTAAATTGTTAGTTTAGTAAATTTACCTGATTGGAGTTTTTTATGTCTCCATGAGATAATGGATCACATCCTTTGTCTGCATAAAATGCAAAAACTGAAATTCCTGATAAACACGCAAGCGTCAACAAGAGAAATACCCCAACACAGTTCATCATTACAGCTCTATAAAATATAATTAGGTTTTAGACAGTCAAAAAGAAATTGGTGTACATTATACATAGAAATATTCTACAAATGTTGTCCAACGAAAGGAAAAGCTTAAATTGTACAAATATGTCTGTAATAACAAAGTGGAACTTTAAATGTAATTAAAAAAATATATGGTGTTTTAATGATAAAAACATTTCTACATACAGTTGATCTACTTAAAAAGTTCTTCGTCACAAGGCCACAGTGATCCCTCCAACACCGAACGAAATGGAACACCTTATTGAAAGTTCTAGATACCTCTTAGGCCTTGTTTAGGCGATATTTGTTTTGCTAGTTTGGATCACGCTGCATTCCATGTGACTACTTCCGAACTACAACATTTTGAAAGAGACAGAAGATAACAAAAGGAAAATCAAAATCATAGTTGGAAAAAAAATCACACAATACCATTTCCAAACAGAAAAAAAGACGATGAAAGGACCACAATCAACAATACTCTACAAAGAAAACTAATGTCGCAGCAATACGAACCTCACCAAACAATGGGTATGATCTCAGGTACATTTGAAGAGTAAGCCGATCTTGCTTTACTAGTGGAACCCATCGTGTTGTTCGTTGCAAGTACATAATCAAAGAGAAGTTGCATTTTGTGATGTCATGATCGAGGACGGAATTGTGTCTTATCCATTTAGAATAGATATTCCATAACGATCAACCAAATCATATGGGCGTCTAAAAAATGACTAAAAAGGAACTCGTGGTTCAATAGCTCCTTTGTAATCAGTTACCCTCTTTTAAGAAAAACTTGAAAGAGACCCAATCTCTGGAATATAGTATCAAATATGGAACATATATTCCATATACTGGCGGTAATGAAAGGTTGCTACATAGACATGGAAAGTTCGCGGTTGGAACGCTGAAATCATCTATTTTATGGTAAAGTTAATTTATCAACGACACTCATTGTCAATTTTAAGATGATACTAGTAGCAGATTAAACTCTATCTGTGATATCCTGTTTTCTTCAAGTGCGATGGGATATATGCGTGGAAAAAAATCACCTAACAAATTGTGAATCATTTTGTGAGCAGTCATCATCTGTTTAGCCGAACTTGAATTTAAACAGAATGTTAGCATCTTTTCATTCGTCCTGAGAACCTCCTGCATGATATAAGCCTCATATGAATAATGGGACATGTCAAGCATAGTCGAAATATTGTATCCTTAAACGTTAATAGCCAGTATCATTGACATATATGCATTAAGAATTTCACAAATACACTCATATACCTTTTAGCATCTTTAAGAGTAGGCAAGGAACTATACCGTTGGATACTAGCCTGATTAGCTCCATATGTACCTGCCCAATTTATCATTCCACCAATAACCAGTGCCCAAAATGTATGCCTTGTAGTGGGATCTGGATCAAAGCTTAAAAAATAACATTTTTCTTTAAAATCAATCATAAAGTATAACATTATTTCTCAGCGCACAATCATTTTGATAAAGTATAACAAATAAAAATATTGCAGACTTTTTGCAATTATAAAATTGAGAATGGAAATGGGGAATGTGTCAAAGAGGCAACAACCCGACCATAGAACAGACAACAGCAGAAGGTCACCAACAGGTCTTCAATGCAGCGAGAAATTCCCGCACCCGGAGGCGTCCTTCAGCTGGCCCCTAAACAAATATATATACTAGTTCAGTGATAATGAACGCCATACTAAACTCCAAATTGTACACAAGAAACTAAAATAGTTTTTTTTTTCTCCCCTGTCTGATTTCTGTCAGTTAATTTACAGGTAAAAATTTTGAAAATTTAACACTATCTTCCCCTAAAAGCTGATCCTTTTAGCCAATTAAAGATAAAATAAAAAATAACTTACTTCCAGAAGTTTATTCGGTCCCATTCGTCATTTAAATTCCAAATATGGTTAATACCACCAACCTCTATTGTAGCCTAAGACACGAAAAAAAGATATGGTTGCTTTGGAAATCATGCAAGTCCATTATATTATAAATGAGACTATTACAATTCTCGAACATTTTACTTGCTGTTACACAAATATACTCTACTTGTAGTTGTATTTAAATAATGTAGTTATAGGCGTTTAAAGCAAATATTGATACCGTGTAAGTGGTGAACTATAACAACATTTAACCCATATTATGTATAAAGTCGAAAACAAAAGGTCATATTTCAACTTAGAAGCTACAAACGAAAGAATAATTTTCATATGCAATCAGAATTTGTTAAGGATAAGGAGAGTTAACGCAAAATGTGTTTTCGAATATTTTTCTTCTTGAAATAACGATGACAAAAATGTTGTTAATCACCCCCTCTAATTTTAAACATTGAATAAAGATATGGAATTCGTCCAAACGCATACATTTCAAAATTTGAAACCCTTATAACTACTTTTATATTTTCTTTATATCAAAATGAAAACAAAAGATGAATGAAAGAATTGTAACGTTCAGGATAAAAGCAACAAACCAAAACAAATAGTTATAGGTAGTGTTCTACAAGTGAGTTTATATATTAATAAACGGAATATAATAATAGGTCAAAAGTAAATAATATGTATTGCATATTATAATAAGCACATAAGTAGGATCTGCTTAACCTTCCACAACACTTTAGATCACCACCAGTATTTGACGGGTTTTGTGTTGCTCAGTCCTTACTATTGTATGTAGTGTTTCGTAGACTTGTCCCCTTGGTATTTGCAGCCTCTTTTTTATCAAAACTTTACGACACTTACCAAAGAGGAAATACTGAACAAGCATAAGTTTGTTCTGTGTTTCTTTAGAATTTCAAACAAAGATGATGAATTTGATCTTCCTTCACAGTTCTGGATACCAAAATTACATAATATCCTTACAAACAACGTTTCTGCCAAGTGTTCCACGAAACCTCTTTCCAAACTGTAAACATCAATTTTATCAGCAAGCAAAGCCGGGCATCAGAGTAACTGTGAAACTACCTACTCTATAGACTAAATAAATCGTACATACAATCTAAGTATATTTCCTCTTGCAATAGTATAAAACATTTGCCTTCTCTACCCTTTACACTTGTATACCCTGATTCTAAACTTTAAGACATATTAAAAGAACTAGTCAACCTTTGTTTCATAAACAAAGATTGGCCAGCGTTGATATTACTGTTTTGTTTTGATTCAAATAAAACATCCTCTTAAACTGGCAACATCAAGATTCTTGACTTTTTTAAATGACAACACATTTGTTACGTTTTGGGATGTGTTTTTCAACAAACAAACGGCATTTCAATGCAAATGAATTGTGCTCCTCTTCGTGTCGAGTTGTTCCTGTATTCACATGAGACAAACTTCATGGAGGAGCTTCACTGGTGAATGAACATCATTCTTTAACTTCGCGTTATAGATGATGTCCTTTCAATAGATAATGCTAAGTGTGGTGACTATGTTGAAAGCATCTATATCATCGATCTTTAAATAAAAAAATACCAGAGATACAAATAAGTCTGCTTCATATCGTGACTTTCGGCTCGAAATTGACAATAAGGGTCGGTGGTTAAGAATACATTACGACAAAAGGGATGATTTCAACTTCCCAATTGTGAACTTACCATTTATGTGTAGCAACATTCCAGCACTCCAGTTGATACGATATTGATTTTCTTGAAATAGGGTTGTTGGTTACTAGGAACCTATTGCACCAAGGGTTTTGAGTAGTACAGCTGAAGAAATTCAAAAGTTATAGGAACGCCGCCACAATATACTGACCGCTATGGAAGTTCTGATTTATATTTTGCGTTACCAGATTTTTACAAAGATATAATTATTTTTATTTATATCCCTACGTTTATTACAATTTTGTATTTCATTCCATTAAAACAGTTTCTGCGAAAGTAACAATATTGGAATCTTACCTTTATGACTATTGCCAATATTCCCGATAACATGATAATTGCTTGAAAAACGTCCACCCACACTATAGTTTTCAGTCCTCCCTATATTGACATAAATTACAACATGAAGTAAGCACTAGTTATACTTCTAACAAGTAATAATGTAGTTTCCATGCAAACTATTTGAGTTTCATTGTAGATTTACGAAAAACAATATTGTGCTGCTATCGAGCTATTTTAAGCATGTAAATGGAACTAATATAAAGTTTTACGTTCGGAAGTTTTTGCTAACTTGTTAGTCTTCGTCGAATATATTGATGCTGATCTATTTTGAGAAAATTCTATAAGTTAATGCACTTCAAGGGATATAAAATATTTTGCCTGGAAATTTCTTTTGTATTTGGACTCATGTGGCATTTTAAACTGTCGAAACAATGCAGAACAATCACAAATCGAGCGCACCTTCTAAAATACACCCTATATGGGGATTTTTTTTTTTTTTATTTATACATTTATTGTAAATGGAAAATACTTTTATTTAGAGATTAAATGGAAGCGATAGGTTTTATCTCAAGAGACAAACTCTGACAAACACAAATGTCGACATTTCTGAACTTGTCAGAAAAATTTCCTTGCAAATAATCCTTTTTCCACAAAAATCTAAATAAATAGATTGATAGAGAAAGAAAGAAAGAAAGAAAAACATCGGCTTACGAAAAAACAAGCATGTAAAATATAAAAAAAGTGAAGCGTTTATCTGAAAAGTATATTAAAAAATGATTGTCATAATCAAAACCTTGAAAGATAACTCAGATCGACCGTATGATAGGTAATGAGGGATACGTGTTTGTATGTCATATCATGTCAGTGAAAATTTAGGCGGGAATCTAGAGAACCACGTGATAGATTAAAAAAAAGAATTTCATCATGTTAAAATTATCTGATATGTGTTTTGATTGTAAAGTCTTGGGATACGTTGTTTAAACTTGAGCGAAGTATTTAACAAATTGCATAGGTTGGCAATAACCTATCCCATTAAGTACGTATGTCGAGTTAGGTATGTATATCATTTTATAGAAATCTCTAATATACCGCACTGTCCACATGAACACGATTTTTTACCGTATTAAAGTAGTGATATCACAAGATAAGAAAACAAGACAACACAAATAACGCTAATACGAGGATATTTGAATGCTCAGAAGCATTGTAACTCCCCAACATTTTTAGAATGACAGTTAAGCTTTTTCTGATTAGTGATATAAAAACAAGGCTATTGATGAAAGCAAACTGAATTTTTCGTCCGAAAGCCTTCGGATTGCGTGTTTTAAATTTTTCAAGGAACATAACCATTCAATCGTACGAACTGTGACGACAAATAATGAATTTGGCTCGGAATTATGAAATATTTCCGATTGAAAGTCTAAATTGACATGCACCCGCTGAAATGTCTCCCCTGCTTTACTAACCAAGACATTTTATGTTGATAGTACTAAAGATAAAGTGTTATACGAGTATCACATAAACTTGACATTATATCAATAAAATGAGGTAAATGGCAGATAAACCAAACCAGACAGACAGACACCCTACAATCATTTCATACACCAAATATAGCTGAACTATTGCTTATAGTATACATAAAACAGACCAAACCATGAAATTTAATTGACCAATGAACCATGAAAATGAGGTCAAGGTCAGATGAACCCTGCCAGTCAGACATGTACACCTTACAATCATTCCATACACCAAATATAGTTGGCCTTTTGCTTTTAGTATTTCGGCAGAGGACCTAACAACTGAAACTTAACTTCTATGTCATTTGGTCTCTGGTGCAGACTTGTCTCATTGACAATCATACCACATCTTCTTTATATTAACATCAACCAATGAACTATGAAAACGAGTTCAAGGACAGACGATACCTGCCAGACAGACATGCACACCTTACAATCATTCCATACATCAAATAGAGTTGACCTATTACTTATTGTATTAGAAAAACAGACCAAAACACACAAACTCAATATTGTCCAAAGAACCATAAAATTAAAAATGAGGACAAGGTCATATGAAACCTAACAGAAGGACATATACACCTTCCAATCATAACATACATCAATTATAGGTGACATATTACTTATAGTATTTGAGAAACGGACCTAATCATGTAATTTTAACCTTGATCACTGATCCATGAAATGATGTCGAGGTCAGGTGAACCCTGTCTGACGGACATATAGACCTTGCAAGGAACCCATATACCAAATATAGTTATCCTTTTACTAATAATAAGTGAGAAATTCACATGACAAAAATCTAAACTTTTTTTCAAGCAGTTGTCTAACCACGAAAATGAGTTCAAAGACAAAGGACATATGACAGAAAGAAACTTCGTAACATAAGGCATCTGCATCCACGGTATAAAACCAGGTCTTCCATCCTCTGAAATATAAAGCTTAATACAAATCTCGCCGCCGCCGCCGGATTGTAATTCCTATGTCTTGCATTCTGAGACAAATAGTATATCACTTGAGACATTTAATAATTATTATTTGAAAGCCATTTTGATTTTCTGAACAGACTGATAAAGCTTCTTGAACTCCTCAAAACAAATTCAGAAAACGTTTTTTTTTTTTTAAATGAATTTTAAAGAATATACATACCATAAAAGTGTAAAACGTGCATATTACACCAATCAACAGGAAAGATGCCCAGTCTGGGAAGCCGCTAACTGAATAAAATAAAATAAATATGTATACAATAAAATAATTCATTGATTGATTTGATTTGATTTTATTTATCAAAAATATTCAAACTTATAACAAAATTTCAGAGAAAATGTCCAATCCTTATCTAATTAATTTATTTATAGCATTTATAATTTTGCCGAGGTCAAGTACGGCTTGGCATTCTTGTGTTTACGTTGAGCAATTTAGGACGTCTGGGAAATAGATGTTTAGCTTGTTTATAATTTTTTCACGACTGTAATGGCGACCGCTACTACGACGACACCTAGGAGTCGCATCACAAACTAAGGTAGATAATCGGAAAAACCTGTCTATAATAAAGGCTTTTAATTTTTTGCTGAAAATTAAGTAGATATTATTTCCACAAAAAAAAATTAGTGACAAAAAATAATCATTTTATATGTAGAAAAAACAACAACTGATTTTTATGAATATCTGACAGAAGATACCAAGTTGGTTTTTTGTAAATGGGGCCCAGGAAATAATAAAAGAACAAGATGGAACATTAAAAAACGTGCGAACAGCGAACACTCAAAGCAAAAACAAAAACAAAAAGTATTTACCCGTTTGAACTATGACATTTTATCATTAACATAGAGAAAAATATAAAACTTTGAATTTAAAGCATGTCATTGATTGCAAATCTTTTCCAGCTTGTTTTTTTATGACAAACATGGTTTTCAAACCAAAATAAGTACCTGCTTGAAGAGCTGTTGATGGTGAAAAACTTGCTATTCCTGTATAAATCAACTGTGAACAAAAAGAAATAAGTTAATTTATGCAAAACACGACTTAAAAATGTTAGTTTTAAGAACGATTTCTTGACAAATAATTCATATTGCAAATATTTAAGAAAATCGCAATTAGACAAATAAAATCACGTGGTTGGGCGCCGGTGCATATTGATATTTACTCCTTTTCAAACAAAACAATATGTACTATTCTTTAATATATGAGATTGAAAGTAGGCATTACCGTAACGACTCATTTCCTACTAGACGTGTTACGAAATGGTATATACTCGATGATGAGGTTGACAGATTAAACTTTAAATGAGGGTATCGTATCAAAACACAAAAGTGATTTAAAGATTTAAATTACCTGTGTATCAATTGAATCTGCATAGTACTGATGTCCACGTATATTTATTTCTTATAACAGACGTCCCTTTGAAAACTTTATTATAGACAATTTCATTATAAATACTCCTTATGGAACAAATATTCCATAACAATTATTCTGTGAGGAATAGAAATGATAAATCCCATGATATGTCTTTCTTTTTGGAACACTGACAGGAGGCAAGGGTATTGTAGAAAGGATATAAATTCTAGAAGAAAAAAAGGAATAATGGATGAGAGAATCAAATCCCGGCCAACCCTTATAAAGTAAAGCAATATGTACTTGCTGTTTTATTTTTTTGCGTTTTCGAAATCAATAGCGACGGACCATTTAACTTAAAGGGGTGTTTACCCGAGGTCAGAACTTGTTTCCTAACCCAGGAGTTTTTAAACTCTGCACAAGGTATGTATATACATAGAATATATGCAACTCCTTTTGTGGATTTATTTTGGATATAGTTTGCCGTTTGTTTTCGGAGGTTGAAACTTCGTGAATTTTTGACCAACATGACACCTCTATGGCCTCGCTAGCCTTTATTAGACCGTGAAAATGATTGTATAGGGGTAAATTCAGTAAATAAATATACGTCATCAGGGACCGGGAGAGCTTTCTGTACAAAACTGAAGTCCTGTGCTCTTCTGATTAATAGATATTGTTTGTAATAAATATTTTTTGATAGATGGATCAAAACTAGAGTTAAAAAAAAATAAAACATGAATGCTGAATGTACTAAATTTTTTTACTACAGGGTTGAAAAGTAATGGGGTCAGTAAAGGAATTAAGTGCGAATCTACAGTGTTTGTAAACAAGGCCATGTGAATGCCCAAAAATGCCGCATGACCCTATGTTTTTATTGTTGCAAAAGATAGGGCTACATTTGTACTTTCATGAATGATATATGAAAACTTCCAATTTCTAAAGGTAAATCAGGTATAAATTTAAATCAAGACTTAGATTAGCATTAAAGTCAATGGGAGATTTTTTATTGAATTTACCCCTATAGGAAAATATGCACTCTGTCACTGTACTTGTTCAAGGCCACACAATAATCACCAAACTCATTTCCTGTAAATATTAATGCAATGGAAGCCTTTTGGAATCAGTTAAAGTTGTTTTTTATACAAATTTCTATGTTTAACTGCGGCAATCTAGAATGCACTGAGTGAACTGTGGTAGGAAGCATGGGACATATGGTAAAAAATCAGTTTTGTGTCCAGATTGAAAGAAACAATAGAAATTACACTTGAGAGTTATGATATTAATGAAAGGCATAAATATTCTCCCCATTTTACATCACATTTTGCACATATTTCTCCTAATAATGTGTAAAATCATATGGAAAATCAGAATTACCTCCCTTTGGCCAAGTATATTTTTTTTAGCTGTGTTCCCCATGTTAAGTTGTAGATCAAGTTGTAAATAATCACTTTTCAAGTATTTAAACACTCGAATAATTTGACCGTATGAAGATATTTATTTGTTTTTACATAATTCATTGCGTTTCTTTAAGTAAAAAAAAAACTAGACAACTTTTCATGATTATATACCCTTCATCTATAAAACTAGTGTTGAAATGTTTGTAATTGGATTGCTATGTTAAATAATTGCTTTTAAATATTCTAAATTGTTACTTTTATGTTCGAAATGCAAAGTTTGGTCATACCCAGTCTTATATTTTCATATTTGGCACTTTTTTCTACTTCAGTTTTGGTCGTCTAGTTTTGGCGAAGAAACCATCCTGATGTTGGGGTAACAGGAATTTCTGCAGAGTGGTTGTCAATGACATTTTGTGAACTTTACAAGTAATTAAAACACAGATTTAGTAAAATAAAACATAATTGTTGTTTTTTTATGGTATGAAACTGCTTAAAAAGCCTTTGAAAATTCTGTTTGTGGTCTTTTTCAGGGTATTTAACTAAAAACTTCCATATAAGGCAAAATTTAACTAAGAGTACATCAAGACTTTAGTTCCTAGATGTACTTGCAATACTGGTCAAAGCAAACACAGAAAACAATTCATATTTATTAAGCATAGTATTTTACACCATTCTTTTAAAAACAGTCAATGTGCAACTTTATATACCAAATATACATTGGCCGCAGTATGGGCTGTAGTTACTGTATAAATTTTCCGCTATCTTTACAAGTTCAGCCTTTATGAATGTTGTATTGAAACTGGAACTTGAAAATAGGATACATTACATGATTAATACAAAAAAAGTAGGAAAAGAAGTTAAAAAGTCCCTTATAATAATAATATGTTAAAGCCTACTCAGGAAAAGTTTAATTTCCCTTATACTATTTTCATGTAAAATGTGACTGTTTCGACCCAACGAAATGAGGATCTTTTGGAAAAGACATCCTATACATATTCATGCAAAGTTTCAAAAAATTTTGCATTGTAATTTCTGAGGTCTGAAATTGTCTTACCCGTTTGACACGCTTTTCAAACAGTCCGAAAATTACTCCCTGTTATATACCCTCTAATGCATGTATTTTCGTTTTTTTATATCTTTAACTCTAACCTTAACGAAATCTTTAAAAAAAAAAAAAAAAAAAAAAACAAGTTCAAACTGAAATTGAGATTTCTTTTGTAAGGTTCTATGTAAAATGTGACTCGTTTTTCGCCGGTTTGATATTCTTAATACATATTCCTGCATATTTCTCTTTGGGGTTTCTGAGCACAAATATATGCTTAGATACCGATTTTTTATGAAATCTATGCACGGTATACTTCTTAGTCGAACTTAGAAAATAGACAACAACTAAGTGGCAGGTGACATTAAATGCCCACAGTGTTAGCGGCAATTGAAAGCAATTTTCATGCCATTAATACACAACAAGCGGAGCCTCGGGAACAAATTTACTCCAGATATCGGTATTGCATACATACACAGGTTTTTGTGTACAGTAGGAATCATATAAGATTCACACGCAGTAGTTTCCAACAGGATTATGCTCAACAGTTTAATTTACTACCTTCAATTAGCCAGGTATTGAATTAGATTTAGATTTCCCCCAGAATTTTGTCATTTGAGGTAATAAAGTATATTGCATGTCGTTCTCCTCTCGTTACCCTATATATACATCATAAATTTAGAGCTACCTGTAGACCTAGAACAGAAAGAATATAATGTAAAAATGAACTTGCGGTTATCGTTCGGGTGTCGGGTATATGTGGAATACGCTTTTAGGCGCTTAAAAACTGTCAAAGTCAGTGGAAGCATATGGAGATATCCGGAAAAAAAAATCAACCAGACTGTAGAGCTTTGTGCATGTTTAGAAAAGGTTGTTTGGTTGTTGTTTGTTTTTCGTCCAGTGACAAATATTTCATGCATTTTCAGGAAGAAATTTAGTAATGGAGTGACAACTTGATATGTTCGAAGAACAGTAATTAATATAAAAAACAAACTGGCTTATTATGTGAATTTTTTTTTAAATCTAGAAGTGCATACTTGAATTACCATCAACCCCCTCCCCTCGCACTCACGTACACTTTTCCTGTCCTATAATCACAAGCAATGCTATCAGAAAATGATTACTAGTAATTTAAATTAATATAATAAAAAAAGAATCAAGAAGTGTGTAAGGTACCTGGTTAACATCACGCAAACTGACTTTTATCTGTTTAAATCGATTAATGTTTTGACACAGTCTCCATATTTAAAGTCTAATTTGTCAACCTCAGCGTCGAGTATATACCTTTTCGTAACATGTCTACTCATAGAGCGATCAGTATTAAAGTCAGATAACTTAATTACCGTTGACAAGTTGTTAATAATGGTTCCTGTTAGTCTCGCAGCCTTTGACTTGAAACGAAGCTCCAAGTACTGTAAAATAAAGTTGATTTAATAGCAAAATAATTGTTTATATATAATTATTTGTTTTTGGTTAATAAGGGCTTAGGATAAAGACTTCCTAAAGACTACACGGTCAAATCTTTGAAAGTTACCATAAATCTCCGTTCCAGAACAAATTTCAGCAATAAGTTATGGACAGTTTGTAATACCCATTATAAAGAAATAAATTATCGCTAACTTCCTTGTATCTAATCTTGTACAGCCTCGAATGGCGCCCAATGATAATGATAGCTAAAAAATGTAGAGTATGATCTGCTTACTATTCCGGTGTGCCTGAGATCATTCCCTGCTTTGGTGGGGTTTGTGTTACTCATTTTTTTTATTTTTCTGTGCAGTGTTTTGATATATTTTGCATTTTTGCATTATGTTATAGTTTTGTTCTTTGACCATGCTGGTTGATGTAAGGAACACAAAATTCAAATTTTAGAATACTATTTACTATAAGACTCATTCAGCCAATGTTTGATTAAAACTGATCATGCGGCTTCAGAGAACATTTTGTTAAACTTTAAAAAGACAACAGACGGCGACCATGGACATCAAGTAATGGCAATTGAACTAAAAAGTAAATAATTCTATTTGCTATCTTTACCTCATACATGCTTGTCATTTTAAGGGGATAAAATAACGGTACGAATAAGATGGTTGCCATCACTACTGCCAACATTTGTCCAAATGTGTATAAATAATACTGTGTTCCTTTTGTGTACATCTCTGCCGGTGCACCTACAATTGACAAAGTTTGTATGTCGAAATCATTGGAATATGTAATATTTAATCAGGTACATTCTTCGATGTATATTGTAGTTCACTCATTTTTGAATATGTTTTTACGATATGTTAAGATGTCGGAAAGATAAACAATAAACACATTAACAGTTAGACAAGCTTCTTGACTCTTGGTATAGACAGTCTATCTATCTTGCATAAATTAATCCAATTTATTAAGGTTATTCAGTTAATTCAGGATTTTTATTCTCATTTTAATATTTGTAATCCACATATGAACTTGTCCTTTCTATTCGCAAGATCACGAAGAACAACCTTGATAACTGTGAGCAGATCTCTTACATTCAGTCCTTCTTACATTCACAGTCCTTAATGTATTTTCTTTGTTAACGTCAACAAACATTTTTGCTGATTAAAACTGTGATAAAAGATGTGCATGTAAATTAGCCCCACATTTATTCTAAAGACAACTAGGCTAACTGTGAGCTAAACATATAAATTCACAGTCTTTTGTGGTTATGTTCTTTACTTTCGGCATCTAGAGAATCATGCAGATAAAATAAGAACACTGTAATTTTTATTGAAGCTTTTTCTTTTAATTCTTATAAAGGGGTAGACGTGTAACGATTTAAGGATTCATAAAATGAATAAATGTCAGTAAGATGTGAAATGAGTTTTCAGGAAAAAGGAAGATAATAAAAATCTGTAAGTGCATAAGTCAATTTCCGATCTTAAATCATTTTAAAGGGCGACCTTTCCAATGCTGAAAAGTTTGTCTATATACAAATTTATGACGGAATATGCATGCCTATCCCCCTTTAAGTCTTAGGATCGTTCAATGTATTTTATCAACATGCTTCGGTGGACCCACAGAAGGGTTATGTATAAACTTATTACCTGACGGACGAATCAACGAACTATCAAACTGATATTTTAATGTCTATCAAGTATACAAGATTAATTCTGCTATCTGAAATATTCAGTACAAAAGAGATTACAAAATAAAGACTTAAAATCCAAGAGTACAGATTGCAGTGGGTATTTACGATGCTTTAGTATGTGTATTTATAGATAAAGTGATCAAATTGTCAACACAGAACTACAAATCATTTCGGTTCTTTTGTATTTTTTTTTAAATATCAGTGCAGTTACGTAATTTGAACAATAAAATGAGTGCGGGGAGGAATAATCTTAGTGTAATAAATCTTCTGTTTTATTTGGTATTTTGTTGCCTAGTAAAGAGCTTTTGGTGATGTTTGTCTTGTCCAGTCCCGAGGTTTTTTGTGAAATGGCTCCATTTAGTATATTTAGGCAAAATGTTTTTAAATACTATAGATTTATGGTTTTAATGTTCCTTTTCTTCCCCTATCTTTTTACTTTTCTGTTACATTTTCCTCTATTAAACCATTCCAATCATTTACGTATACCTTGTGGATTTTTAGGAAAGTTGATTTAAATATAATGTAGAAAGAACTCTTCATGACAAATCTACAGAAAGAATTATGTTCTTTTACAAAAGACAAGCAGAATAAAATATTAACCATGCTGTCTGAAATGTGAGCTTTCTTTTGTTTCCTTGTTCAAGTTAGTGGTCATCCTGTTGGTAACTGGTCTATGCAATTTTTTAAATGTGGCTTTAACGATATGATGTCTAGATAGGTAGAGGAATAGTTGTGCGTACGTAAAACTGGTTTAGTCACACCCTAACAAGTCGGGATTTCTAGACCACGTGTCTTTCCGTGTTAGCTTTCTCTATTTGTACGTCGTTTTTTTTCGGAGAAGTCGGGAGTTGGTGGTTGAGCTATGTTATTTCTTATTTGGTTTGCTCAACTGTGGACCAGAGGTAGCATTGTTTACATATAACTTTTAACCAATTATCCACTGGCTTAATGTTTCTGAGCAAACCAGTCCTCTTGTATTCAATGACATAGACATGTTATTTTAATGTATGGTATAATTTATAGTCTAGTGCATTAGTGTTTACCTAAAATGAGTATAGCAGATTGAAAAGACACCAGTATAGAAACTGCTACGGGTAGACAGCTCATTTTTCTATCAGCCATGAGAAATTCTTTTGTTGTTCTCTGTCTACCGCCGGTAACCCCATGATAAATACCAATGCAAGATGGTATCACTAATGTAATAGCAAATACTGCCCAATCGGTAGCTGAAAACTGCTTTTCCATGAGATTAAGGTTTTCGTTTTTCTACAAAACAGAATTACAACATGTTGATAAATTCATATCCAGAGTGTCAACTTTTATTAGGATTAAGGCAGATACGTGTTAATATATTATATATATTAAACGTAACCGGTAGAAAAATCATCGGGAAAAAGTGTCGTAACTGTTCCAATATATGTATAGTGCCTGTTGCACTCCACTACTAGCAGTTTTGCCCCCATCTAAAATAATAGAACCATTTTTTTTTTTTTTTATGTTTCCGTCATGCAGTCCGTCCGTCCCGTAACAGGTTAAAGTTTTGGTTTAGGTACTTTGTATTACATCAACTTGAAACTTGGTACACTTGTTCATTTTGTAATAAATTTTTATATTGTATGCTAGATTAGGGTTTTGACTCTGATTTCGTGGTTCACTGAACATGCAAATGTGTAGTTCCAGCGGGCCATGTTGTCATATGGACGCATATTGATTTCATTCTGACTGGACAATACTTGTATTTGTACATCCAGCACAAGCAAACGCGCAACTCTAAAAATAAGTTGTTACGTTCGTTTTCGTGTGGCAAATTCCTAGTCATTTATGTGATTCTAAGTCCCCCTATCAGATCACATGTGACTTCGTATTTATAGATTTAAACACATCCAAATGTCCACTAGGCGGTAATATATTAGATTTTTTGAAATACAGACTCCATTTAGTGGATTGTCTGAGCAAAACACTGTTAGCAATGATATTTTCCTGTCCCGAAAATATAAAATCTCGCATCTCACTCAAATTTTAGTTACATTACCTCACTTGCCTATCAATTCAGTTAAAAAAACACATCTCATCACAATTCAGAAAAGTATTCTTAGTTTCTTTACTTTGCCTTGTTTGTTCTATAGAAGAGTCCACAAGGTATAACAATAAATATACATCTCGCACACACACTAGACCAATCAGTTCTAATTAGCATTAAATAAAAAGAAAACGGACTGCCATGGCAAGAAATAGAAATGCTACTCTATATCAAACAGAATAAAAAAGGGGTTACTAGTATGTACAATATATAACTTTACACTTAGATGACTTATGATGATGGTATCAAAAAGAGAAAACTGTTCACAAAAATCAAACAACATATTTACCTATTTAAAAATCATTAAGTTTATAACTTAATATACAAGATGTTTTCAAAAATGTGAAAGATATACCGTATCGCAATGACCTTGAAGATCACAACTCGAAACCATTTGAAATAATAACTAAAAGAAGAAATTTAAAATATCGCGCACGAAAAATAATTAAAAGCAATTAATAATACTCTTAACGCTAAAACAATACACTATGTAGACGATATAGGTCATATGAGAAATATAAATACATATTAAATACATAAACAAAAGATTATCTCTGTTAAAAGATCATCGTGTGTATATTTAACTTCCATGAACTCTTCAAAATGCGAAAAACATTCAATATTTTTTTATGATTTTTTTAGATGACGATCTTTCAAGGGTGTATCTATACTGTGTGTGACGAATAAAATAGTTCAATTTGAGCCAAAGCAAATAGTACAATGAAATCATGGAAAATGTTTGCAAAACCATTATAAAGGTTGTTTAATTCTACGGTCTATAATAATAATATGCCGCTTTGACATATTTCTTTGTGTGTTTTTCCAGAAATACCATACAGTTCCTCTAGAAAAAACATGAACTTTGAAATTTCCCTCATCACTCTCTTTTACTTTAGTTACTAGTCTTTCAAACCTCCAATTGTAAAAATTGTCATTCAATTTTAAATTGTAATAGTCTATAGTTGCCTTCTTTTCTGATTTTGAAATTTTAATCTTTGCCAAATGATCATTGTACTTTTGCCTTGGTATATGATCGTTGTTTTCCCTGATTAAAATTTATATTCCGCAAAGATTCAAGAAATTTGTTGTTGCTTAAATGCTTATAATCAAAATTAAGAAGCGAAAAGACAAGGTGGGTATTTAATAAAATTTACATATCCAATAAAACAGATGGAAAGATGATGTGACTTGAAAATTTCGTATCTTCGGTTGTCTATTTTTGACCAGATCAAATCGGCTTGACCACTGAAGAGCAATACCACAAAGAAATATGAATAAGTTCCGTTTTGAATACGAAAAAATACTAAAAATTGAAGTTTTTTTAAATCAGTTATCTTAATTTTTGGAATATAATTTTTAAATTATTATTCATCAAGAATATTTCACCGAATTAACATGTATTTAGAAGATAAACAAATCCCCCAAAATTAACTTATTGCCTGAAATGATGTTTTGACAATAGTTGAATAATCATCTTCAAATTTCAGGAAATAAGCAACACCGCCTGCACTGTGTCCAGCGCTCTAGACCACTCGGCCACCTAGACTGAACTAAAAATTCAGCTTTCGGTATCCTAGTGTTACCTTTCCACGTCAGTAGAATCTAGAGTTGTAACACAGTAAATGATATACTAGGCATGAAGATGTTATTGATTGCAGATTGAAATAATTATTTGATATGTACGTCTAAACAAGTGACAACTCTACAACAGATCCATCCATTGGATCACCAGTGAAGGTGATACACGGCTGAAAACACATAATATATTCATAATTACTCTAAATATCAGCACAGCAATGTTAAATCTGCATATTCGCGGAAGCAAATTTTTGTCCTTCCCTCGCCGGGATTAGAACTCATGCTATTGAGATATCGAGACAACACCGCCTGCACTGTGTCCTGTCGCTCTAGACCACTCGGTATGAGTTCGAATCCCGGCGAGGGATAAAATCTGTCGCAGAGTTGTCACCGGTTCAGACGTACTTATAATATAATTATTTCTGTGACTGCATCCTGCATTACTTTGTAAGATCCTTTACAAAGATAATTCAGCTGATCTGTAAAAATTCCATCTTCATGCCTTCTATATCATGTACTGTGTAACGACGCTAGATAAAAACCGACAAGGAAAGGTAACACCCGGCCACCGAAAGCTTTATTATTTGTAGAGCCTAGGTGGTCGAGTGGTCTAGCGCGTCGGGCATAGTGCAAGGCGATTTGGTGCCACGATATCTCAGTAGCATGAGTTCGAATCCCGGCCAGGGAAGAACAAACAATTTGCTTCCGCAAATTTACAGATCTAACATTGTTGGGCTGATGTTTAGACGAATTATATATACAGAATGTATTTTCAGCCTTGTATCACCATCACTGCTGGTGATCCGATGGATAAAATCTGTCGCAGAGTTGTCACTGGTTCAGACGTGACCAAGAAATTTGTTTTGCATGCACACGTATAAAAATTGCGGTTTTTATCCAACGCAGTCATAGGTTTGAACGTTGTTTTCAATTTAGACTTGTTTATATTTTTTCGTTTGGGCTTGTACTATATTTGCCTTCGGGTTTATATGATCCGTTCAACCTATTTCGACTCTTTAAAATTCAAGAGTCTATCCTAAATTGAGGTAAATTATATGGCCTTTTCCAAATACCGTTTCGATCCCTAACATCACTGAAGAGACATTAATTGTCGAAATCCGGATATGACGTACAAATTTTTGCACCTCATGTTTGCGGTAAACCATCTTTTCCGCAAATTTATTGTTTTCTGTTTGGTAATATACTAATAATAAGATCCAGTTTGTTACATCTTGTGATCCGTTTTTTTGGCAATCGCCAATTGCAGTCAGCAGGGTTTAAGAACATCAGTTGTTCGACCTGCTAGTCAAATGCGTTTTGTTAAAATATACTTTTTCACATTTTTGGTCTTTTGAAAAATGTTATATATATATATATATATATATATATATATATATATAGGCTGGATATTTCGACTGAAACCGAAAAAGATGGTATGTTGGGTAGGGACAGCCGTTTTGTCTTGCAACAGACCATCAACAGACCCCTTGAAGGGTTCTTTAACGTGCTGATAAAGTTGCACTCTCCTTTAATTAGGCATTGAATTTAACATCCCTATTGCGACCGGACAAGGTTTCGTCTTGAAACATAACGCACAACCAAACAACCACCCCTCTTTGTCGTTGGTTTACTGCCGAATGGGAAACTACAGGTGAACATAATTATATACCCCAGCCAAGCCTTGGTGTCTCTTTCCACGCGAGTAATGTAAGCACACTAACTAAAATGTTTGAATACAACTAACAATAACCTGAGTTTAATAGAAGTATGGGAAGGAACATGACAAATGCAGCAATGTATAATTATAAACAAAGTGCAATAGCGATACTACAAACTATATAACTATGGAATAAAATAAATGATTACCAGGTACAAAAAATGTCAAAAAACATATTAAGATGTGTATGTACAGTTATAATAATGAATTTAAAACTGAACTCAAAACAGTACTTTATTTTCTAGTAAGGTCGAGCGTATGAAAACTTATGCACATCCCATTCGTCAAAATGCGCCCCTTCAAAACTGATGTTGTTTGTTGCAACACAGTTTACTTCAAATAACTAACAGTGTATAACGATATAAATAATATTGAAGCTGAATAACTTTTAGGTGCAAAAGCCATAATATTTCGGTACAAAACATATATATAACATACCTTTGTAAAATTAGCCTGGTTGAAATGGTATCCTATAAAGATTCTCTTACTGTGAAGAAAAAAATAAGATTATGTAATATGTTTTTATCAAGCATGTATGTTTGATTATTTTATCATTAGTTTTTCTCGTCTACCTTTTTATGCGTATTTGCTATAAAAGAGGCTTCAATCAGTGACTGAATTTTAAATCGGTTATCAATGTATTGCTGTTAAACAGTTGAGAGTGGTACTTCAATATGTGTTTGTCTATAACGAACTTATTATATAATAACTAAACATCGGAATAGTGACTATCTATATTTTCCTACGTTAAGTTAGCAACGCAATATTAATCTTAGTATATTCATGACTCGTTCTGATTATGCATGACATATTTTCCAATGAACAATACGAAAACATATATCAATCAATATATATGCATTGTCTGTGATA